CAATCACAAATAATTTAAAGACATCAGTCGTTGTCAAATGTGATAAAGTGCCCCGACAACTTTGGTTGCAATGCTAGATTCCATGAATAGTACGACTCAAGAAAATGAAGAAGTGAAGAATCATAATTTTATTTTAACTACCTTGTGTAATGAAATCTTGTTGTCTAAATGAAGGTTGTTCTATGGTGGTCGCTTTTGGGAATTAACAACTTGTGTATTTACATTTACATTTGCATTCTCTTTTTGCATTAGCTTATTAATTTATTTATTTTGCTACTTGCTTCTATAATAATTCTTATCATTTTTTATCTTATTTGTACTAACTTGTTTATATGTTGCTTGCATCATATGTTCATGACATAATCAAGGTGTTGATTTGTGAGTGGTTATCAGAGTAAAAGGTTTTCATGATGGACAAAGGGTTTTATGATCAAGTAAACTATAACACAGTTAGGGAATAGAATCCTGAGGAAACTCCAAGAATAGTGGAGACCTATGCACCCAATGATCGTGTGTCCGATGAAGAGCCAGAGGAGATAAGAGAGATTAGAGAGCAAATGTCCAAGATGATGGATAGACTAGCTGCTTTGGCCAAACGAAAAGAGACTTCTGTAAAAAAAAAGGAAAAAGCTCGATAAAAATGATCCTATGATGTCAAGTACACAAAGGACTACTTCAGAACAAGCTAATCCTAGCCAGTCTAAGAAATCACACACAATCACCATTCGTATTAACAAGTTGTATGAAGACCCCAAGGAAAAGGTGATAAATGTAAAAGTTCATAAAGATGAAAAGAAGCCATGCAATCATAACTCGTGGGCATTTGAGAGTATACAAAACAAGAGGTGGCTCTCATTTTGATTATATATGTTTATCATATAAGCAGTTGTTTGATAAGCTTTTAGAAGCCCAAGAGGTGGCACCACATTATGTGAAACCTTGGCAGCCTCCATATCCAAATTAGTATGATGTCAATGTTCGTTGTGGATATCATGTCGGAACTCAAGGACATACCATTGAGAATTGCACTATCTTCAAGCATCGAGTCCAACATCTTTTGGATCATGGAATCTTGGAGTTCGAGATGAAAGATTGACTTAGTTTGTTAACTAATTTTTATGTTATGTTAGAGCCAAGAATCCAGGATGAAGAATATTTGCTAAAGTATGAAGATCAACTTCGTCATTTGAGGAATGAAAGTGATAAACTGAATAGAGAGATGGAAATCATGCATGATGGTTTTCAAAAGATCAGTCAAGCCTTTAAAAATACTGGTACAGGAAATACCCAAGAAGAGTGGGCAACATGGTCACTAAACTGAAAAACGATGTTGAACACTAGATAAAGAATTGCAAGACATATGAAGGTCGAGCTAAGAGGTTCTCTTATGATTTACATATTGTAGAAAAGAGGTGTAATTCGACTGCTATTGATTTGGGAAGAAGTAAAGCCGAAAATCAGATGTTGAATATGTCCATAGTCAATATGGAAGCTTCATATCAGTGCCAAAAATGTGAGATTGGTGTTGCGCTAGAAGCCACTAGAGCTAGGAACAAGACACTGATGAGGATTATAGATGATTTTGGAAATATTGCCCAAGGATTTCATAACAACGGAGACTTTCTTATGAGGAAAAATAAACAATTTGTTTACAACTTCGAGAATTAAGACATAAGATGGAGGAAAAAGATGATGTCATGAAAGAAGCTATGATCCAAGCAAGAAATGTGGCTCACAAGTTGATTGATTTAGCTGGCTTTGCAAGAGAATTGAAGTCGATTGACAACTCAACGCCCGAACATTAGTGGAAGTTAACTTGGCTTTTGAGAGAGATAGAGAAGATTGGAGTTAAAGCTATCCCTTATATGTAAAGTTTGTTTTATGTACCGAAACCTTTGTGTTCAATGAATTTTTTTTTTTATGATGGTCACTCTGGAATGACACCTTATATTTCTTTATTTCGATTGGAGTAAGAATCGATTGCTTTAAGGTATGAGAGATCGATTCTTCTCGGTAGGAAATAATTAAATGTTATCATGTTTTATCCAAAAATTCAAAGAATATTATTTGTAGGGGATATTAAATTAAATTAGACTCAAACTCGTAAATATATTTGCGAAGACAAATAATTAATCGACTAGGTACCGATTTAGGGCGCTGTGGGAATGTTAATCATTCCCCACAGTAACCGACTCCCGAACTCGAATTTTGGTAACACATATCCCAATTTTGTTGTTTTAATTAAATTTAATATTTTATTAAAAAGGCAAATTTGTTTTTGGGTGCCCAATCACACCCTAATCAAATATTGGTAGCAACTCCTCAAACCATGTTCTATCGTTAACCGATTATCAAAAATTATTTCGAAATGAGACCTCTCCTTTTTTCCCTCTTCGGAAAAATTGTTTTGACATCTAACATAATTGATCATGTGAATATTTTTAGTTGAGATAATAACAGATTTAATCCTCATTATTTACATATTCTATCAATATGATTCTAATTTTAGCTAGAAATAATACATTCAGTAAGATGACAACATGGTTCATTGTCTTATTGATAAAAATTAAGAAAAATATGGATTGAGGTTAAAAGGATGCAAACAGAGAGAAAATCTCCTATGAAGTCAATACTTAACGATTGATAGAATAATGGGAGGCATATAGGGACGGTCACCTCCTTTAAATTTTTTAACTACTTTTATGTTTTAAACATTTTTTTGTATTTTCTGTTAAAATTCTATTTTCACCTTTCTAAAATTTATAAGTTCTTATCTCCTTAAAATTTTATAAATTTACCTTTAACATAAAATCACGTATCCATCCCTTTATTTGACTACAAAACCATGCCAAGTATTTATTTCATAGTTAACAAAAATTATTTTTAGCTTAAACTCTGGTTGATGCAAGATTTTATAAGAAAATATAGATCTATCAACTGGTTGACAAAAAAAATATAATAAGTTGTACATGATACAAGATTTTTATATTTTTAAATTAAGTATAATATTTTATTTATTATTATTATTATTATTATTATTATTATTATTATTATTACAAATACGTGATAATTAAATTATGTTCTTTAACCTAATTACAAATTTAAAATTTTATGTTTGTATATAAACATATTTTTACCTATGATTAGTTGGGGGACAAAGGACCCGACCCCTATTAAAATTTGTATATTTTAAATAATTTTCATTTAATAGTATTTTGGTTTATGTAAAAATAAATATTTAAATTTAAAAAATAAAAATAAAAATTATTAAATATTTAATCAAGTAGGGGCCAAAAAAGAATGATAAGTCTGTGTTCTCAAATATTTTGTCTAATTACAATTTATGTCATTGTAAGTTGTAATATTAGACAAATAAGGAGTTGTCTTGTGAATTTTGAGTTTTTTTTATATAAATTTAGCGTGGATACAAGATAGAATCTATACAAACACTTTCAACTATTTGACAATGAACGCTCATACACCAACATACGCAGTGCTCGAACTCGGGACCTCGAGGATAACAACAATCCCTTAATCACTAACTTCACTTGGTTCATGTTGAATTTTGAGTTTAAATACCTAATAAATCTTTATATTTTTTCTTAAATAGTCTAATATTCTGGCCTCTATTAATATTTAACTCTGGGTTCGATTAATATTTAATTATGGCTTCGTCCCTATAATATAATTGAAGTATATTTTATTAAAAAGACTAGAAATTAAATTATATATAAACTAGAAATTAAAATAATTTATATAAAGTTTGATTTTTAGTTTTTAATAAAATAAACTCTTCATCAAAAGTAAGTCTTTTCATCAAATGTAAGTCTTTTCATCAAATGGTCTTAACATTTCAATTCATTTTCTCTCCATTTTATATTGGCTAGTTAGACAAAATTTAGACAAAACTATGGAATAAAAATAATACTTAAAAAATTATTTCCAATTTTTTTTGGTGCTAGAAAATGTATAATTGTGTTTAATTGACCGCTACTGTTGTGCTTACTATTAAGATCATTTGTTGTTATACTGATGCCAACATTACTCAAAGCATTAATGAAAGGACGAATATGACTTAAAAATTTGTTTATATAAACCTCAATAAAACTTCTTCTATTTTTTTAACTCTGCTTATTTGTTTTCAATATTAAATATGAGTGAACAATTATTTTACTCTATTTTAATTTTATATTTATTTTATTTTATTTTATTCAATAATAGTATTCACGTATATTGATTATTATTTTGTTATTTTATTTTTTGGATTAATATTTAACTTACATAGAAATAATTATATTTTTCTAAAATTATATATATATAACCAAATCAAAATTAAAATTTGTATATATAATTCACTAAAAAAATCACAAAACATAATATTCAACTAATCTAATTTCATGTATGCTTGCTTTTGAAGATACTTTTGAGGTTGAACGCCTTGTTCCGTTCACATTGAATATAACTAAACATTTATTTCTATCTCAATTATTGGTTCTTAAAGGTAACATACCTTTAAGGAATTACGAATTTTTTAACACAGAATTATCAATTATTATAGACTTGGTAGAGTTCGTATTTTCTTAGCATCATCATAAAAGAAGATAAGATAAGAAACCTTCTCACTTTGTGTATATTACATATAATTTTCTAGGTAAAATTTTAGGTATTATTAATTAAGTAATAATATATTATTAATTTAAATTTACCAATAATCAGTTGGTCTATATTATAATCATATGAGATATTGATTATCTGAAGTAAGATCAAGATTTCGAATTTTGGTGTTTTTAATGAAAGAAACTAAATTAGGAGGATCACTCCCATATTGAGCCTCTACAGTATTCAATTTAAATTAATGAATTAATAAATCGGATATTATGATTATACTAAAAAATTAAATTCAATTAATTTTATTTCTAATAATATAATATGATCTAATTTATTGGTAAAATTAATCCACTTTTCAATACTCATGAACTCATTCTCATGTCTATAAATACATTTATGCACAATTCATAGAGGTGTCAAAGTATTACAAACAAGCCAAAGCCCCAATACACCAAAGATGAAGAATACCATCTATTTAGCTCTGTTTCACCTTTCATTTTGCTTCACTGTCTTTGCTTTTACCCATCCTTCAGCCATGGAATTGCATGGACATGGTGCCGACTTGATTCAAGCAACTTGCCAAAGGACACCCTTTTACAATCTATGTGTCTCCACCCTCCGATCGGACCCTCGAAGTTCCGGTGCCGACGTAGCAGGACTAGCCAGGATTGGAGCCCATAAACTGAAGGCCAAAGCCACAGCAACACTGCGACAGATTACGGGGTTGCTTAAAGTGACCAAAGATCCCAACCTGAAGATGGCCTTGAGTGAATGTGTGGATTACTACAACGCCATTGTTAAGTACGATATCCCGGAAGCGATAGAAGCCGTCGTGAAAGGCGACCCGAAGTTCGGCGTCGAGGGCGCGAATGATGCGGCCAATGAAGCCGATGCTTGCAGGAGGAGATTCAAAAACCAACCCAAGTTTCCGATTTATGGTAGCAACAAGGTTGTGCACGATCTTTCTGCTGTTGTTGCTTCCATTGTCCAATTATTACTATGAGGATGATGAATCTTATACCAGTTCTGTGAGAAACCTAGTGCTTATTATCATATGATGTCCAATAGAAATGTATGTACAAACGTGTCGGGAACCTTATAAAAAAAAGGATAAATATCTAAATGTTTGTGGTTTTATTGTGGGGTAAACTACACTTATAGTACTCCAACTATAATTTTTGTTCTGTTTTCCTCATTCACCTATCTTTTTTAAAATCATGTCTAACATTTAGTTTTTGTTTTATTTTAGTCACCTACTGTTAAAATATTAGTAATGATACTAATATGTACCATAAGATAATGATATATCATCATTGAAAAAATAAAAATGTTGCGTCAGTAATCCTGTTAGTGTTTTAACAGTGAATGACTAAAATTAAATTAAAATGTAATGTTAAGTATGATTTAAAAATAGTTGAGTGACTAAAACGAAACAAGAGTGATAGCTGGATTACTGAACGTATAGTTTACCCCTTATTTTAACATGAAAAAAGCTGAAGTCGATGAATGATTGCCATTGAAATCATTAATTGTGATCCAATAAGACCAAGCCAACACAATCCTTAATAGACAACGATGTCCCCCAACCACTTAATAAACCCTCTCCATAAAAGATCGGATAATCAAGAAAAAAGAGTATATTTTATTTATGAAAAATCATTATATGGGATGAGAATTATAAATGTAGCCTCTTGAATTTCTATTAAAACTTATATCATTTAATTAGACATATGTGTTTGGTAAATATTTATTATATATAATATATAAATTATTTTTTTAATATAATCACCTATATTTAATCTATTAATTAATTATCTATTTTTATTCGTAGTAAGAAACAATTCACTTGTACCTTAAAATGGTAGAAGCATTATTAATTATAAATTCATCTAGCATTATTAATTATAAATTCATCTAGCATTATTAATTATATATAAAAATTAATTGAAATTATTCGATTAATAAATTAAAGGCTTAAATTAAAATAGGTCTTTAAATTATACTTTTTTCTTTAAGTCCCTAAATTATTTTTGTTCAAAATAAGTCCTTAAACTATTATATGTAACCACTTTAAGCACCTAAACTATTTTTTGTCAAAATAACTCTCTAGACTATCTATTTTTTGCTTCAAGGCCCTAAACTATTTTTTTTGTCAAAACAAGTACTTAATTTTGTGTGACATGTCAACATTTTATTGGTAGAAAAACATTTTTTCTAAGTAAAAATGATAGGACTTAAAATGATTAAATATAATAGTTTAAGTACATAGTTTGACCAAAATATAGTTTAGGGGCTTAAAACAAAAGATAACATATTTTAAGGACTTATTTTTACTTTAAACCTAAATTAAATATAAAAAAGAGTAATTGGAGCATTGGTGAAAAAAATAAAGAATATAGTAAACAATTCCTCAGCCAATTAATTTATAATCCACTTTCATTGCAAAGATAAACATATAGTGATGTCATTTGTTTCCTTTAGATAAAGTTTGCTGCATTTGGCAATTGGCACTACTTGCTGATAACAGCCTCAGAATTAAAGAACCAAACGTTTCAAAAGGGACTGTAACTCTCAGTTATCTTTCTTTCCATCCTTCACGGTATGCAATGGTTAAATTATGATTTTAGCCCCTTTACTATACTAAACTGCATCATTTAATCTCTCTATTTTAACTTAATATAATTTGGTCTGCTCCACTTTTGTAATATTATTATTGAATCTAAAATGGTAATATCATTAGTTGTTATCATTAAAGTGAAAATATAATTTTTTTATTTATTCAATCACTTAATTGGAGTCGTTTCGAAATTTAGTTTATTATGTTTAACTAATATATATTTAACGCCATTCAAATGGTTAAAGTTATTTCTAGGCTTAAGGTTGTAAAATTAAAGTCAATGATCTTTTTTTACAATAATTAAGTAATTTATAAAAAATTTACAATTGAGCTCTCAAACTTTATAATTGCATCATTTAAGCCCTTTGACTAAAAGATATCATATTTGATAGTTATTATGTTGATGTGGTGAGTAAATGTACTAACATAGAGATCTATATGTGAATGGTAACATGTCAAAAGGGTTTAGTTTAAAAAAAACTTGAAGATTTAATTATTATTTTTAATATCAGAGATCATATTTAATCCTCAAGAAAAAAATTAAAAATAAAAAAATATTAAAAATATAAAATATTTATTTAAAATTTAGAAAATACGAGAAATTCAAAAAAATAATAAAAGAATTGGAATATTAAAAATAAGTGGAAATACAAAAAAATAATAACACTATTAAAACCTTTTTCTTTCCGTTACATATCTGACTATTCATCTACTCTTGTGGCATTTTTTTGGCTCTTGTGACACATTTTCTCTCCACTCTAGTGACACGTTCTTTTCATCTCTCTCCGATTTTCTCCCATGAATTACTTTGTAATCACCAATTTTAGTTATTTATGTTTAAGTCCAAATATGCATATATAAAATGAAACTCAATATATATATATAAGCATACTCAAATTAATAGTCCATAAAATGTCCACTTTACAAAACGAAAAATAAATAACCCATAGTTTGCTTACATTTTTCTAAACCCATTACAATTCAATGGTCATTTGTGTTGAGTTCATATACAAATCCAAAACCACAAATTTAGAGGCCTAAATGAAGAAGCCTAAATGTGAAAGACCAAGAGATTTAGGGTTATGTGATAACCCTAATTATCCTTACAATCAATTATTCGATTTAAATGATCCAATGGTTCATGATTAACCCTAACTTTCTAGGGTCTACAATCCCAAAGTCTTTGCAACATCATTTTTAAGCAAATTTCTAAGATATTAGCGAGCTGCCTAAAATCAACACTTGATATGTGTATCGATGAAGCCTAGTGTGTCACTGTCCTTGGAATTTGATTACCGGTAACATCATTACATCCTATACAGTTCTACACTCTTTCAAGAAGAGAATATCGGGCATAAATGATTCTTTTTCTCTTAAATTGGTCATGAGCAAGGCTTATGGCTCCATTAAATTGAGGTTTGTCGAACATGTTATGTATAAAATGGGTTTTTTGAACTAATTGGTTAATTGTGTTATGAACTATGTCACTACTGTGTTAAATTCAGTAGTGATGAAATGGCCTTTTGAGTGATGTTTTCCTTCTATCGAGGGGACTACGACAAGGCGAACCTTAGGCCTTTATTTATTCCTCCTTTATGGAAAAGAGGTGCGCCTCGAAGACCGACACTCTAAAAAGAGCTTGCGTAGCAAGAGGTGTGTCATAGTCCAATTTATAGAAATTAGAATAAAAATAAAAAGTTAAAATTTAGAACTTATTTGGTTGAAATTTGGGGACTAAATTGTAAAATCTCAAAACTGTCAAGTTATTTTAGAAAGTTATAGAAAATTTAGGGACTTGAACCCTAATTTTACCATTTTTATTACCCCAATGAAAAATAATTTTTTCTCTTGATCGGTTAACCCCAATTTCCCCTCAAAATTATCAAACCCAATCCCTAAACTCCCATCGATCATCATCCTGATTCCCCGTTGTCCGACTACTATAGCCAGTACCACTACCCCCAAACCAATCATTGCCTTGCTTCAATCAAAACCCGACCCCTATCCCATCGTGAATCAGTGTCGTTCGCCCTAAAACTCGTCGTGAAGTTTGATATTTTCAACCACTAATCGTCGCTTGTTTTCCTCGATTTCGGCCAAACCGTTGACTGTCGTGCCTCACCGCCTTCACCGTTGCATTCACCGGTGTCGTGCGAGCAAAACTCGACCAGTTTCATTCCTCGTTGATGCATCGTTGCCGACCATCGTTTGGGTAAGTTACCATTCGGTTGTTGGTGACTTTTGGTTTGGTTTATTAATGATATTGGATTGGTTTTGGGTGTATTTGAATCCATGGTTGTATTGTGAGTAATCGTCCGATGTAAATGATCCCTGTCACCATCACACGCGTCGCCACGTGCCGACATTGCGCGTGGTGGTCTCCATTCGGTTCAGGAAATTTTTGGAATCAGTCCAAACATAACCGAACCGAGTTGATCTGACCCACACCGAGTTGACTCGACCCGAACCGAGTTGACCTGACCCGAACCGCTGACCGGTCTGACCATTGACTTTGACCGGTCTGACCATTGACTTTGATTTTGATAGAAAAAGTCAAAATTTTCAAAAAGTCCTATTTTATGTTTTTTGATGTCTCGAGTCTGATTTTTAAAGTTCGTTTTACCAAATTCAAACCCGAAAGCCTCTAAATTGACCATCAAACTCGAACATGCTTATGTAATTAAGTGTTTTAATTTTGAATAATTAAATTAAGGCTTGAGACTAATTAATTATTGTTATTTGAAGGTACACAATACTTATCTGATCGCTCGCCAGCTCGACCCAGCGTTTCTCGATCCGCTAGACCACGTGAGCTGATAGTTACTCATATGAACTGTAAACTTTATGAATACCCAGATTAGAATATTACTTTGATATTCACTCAGTTTGATATGAATTAGGTTTGAGCACTGTAGGAGAGCGTGACGAGGCCGGTGCTCAGTAGATTTGTTGTTTGACCCTATTTTACGAGTTGTGTTCCCTATGTGCAATACGACTATTTTATCTGCTTTAAAAATACGATTCACTGAACTTTATGGTTTACTGGTTGATGGTATATGGACTATGACTACATGACACATGATATTTGAATATTTTTTTCACTAAAAAATATGATTATGTCAAATACGGATCAAGGAAATTACCACTTATTATGTGAACTTTTTTATTGAAACATTTGTTTTGGGTAGGCTGCATAATGGAGGTTCAACTCTGATCAAACTGGTAAATCCTTACAGATCTAAGGTGACCCTTGGGTAGGCTCTCATACCCCAATATGCCCCCTTATTTTGGCTCCTTATATCTAATGGGTATAAGGTAAGCCCTATGGATACAGTTATACAGAACTGCATATGGTGTACGGGAGGAGGGTAAACTACAAGTTTTAAAAACTTAACTTTATCAAGATTCCTATGATATTTTACTGGACTCTTACTTGATTGCTTTACATACTATGTTTTATTGCACTATTGGGACACATTGAGCCCCTAACTCACTTTTCAAACTAT